CATTTTTCGAAGTACTGAGGATACAATTTAACATATCCTTTATATAACCGTGTATTATTAATAATATTGGTAGCTGAACCGAAATTTTAAATAAATAAAGATAAATAGGTTTGTTGAAGATTTGCCAATCTCCACATCAACACCGTTTACGAGACTTGTACAAACGAAAATCTATTTTCTTGGTGTTAATTTCTAAAATACTGCTTCCACAAGGTAATGCTTAAATCAAATGGTAAATAAAGCATAATTCTGGTTATGAAGCTCTTCGTTTATCGTTAAGTTTTATGATGTTTTAAGATAGAACATCACTTTATCAATTAAGAATCTTGAATGGTTGCCAATAGACGTTGCGCCATCGGGCTGTTTAATTTTTGGGTAGGTACCGAGTGTATAAAATTGCATTGCGTTTGTCTCGACGGTCAGGACACATGTCTAACGCATTTGTTTGATTTAGTATTTCTTTGAAATACTTTTTTTACTTTTAAAAGACCATAAAATTGAGGTCCAAATATAATAATTAACTCCATAGTAGTTTGAATATTTTTTCTTTTTTTCTTTTCGACCTCGTTTAAGTCCAACAACATATTAAAATATGCATTATGACGTCATTAAACGAAAATTTCCAAACAAGGCTAATATATTACAATAAAATAATATCTACAAGGTCTGTCCAGAAAATAACCAAACTTTTTAGATTATTATAGACAATGACCAATAATGTATAAAATTAACAATAGAGTTCCGTTATTTTCTGAACATACATTGTATTTGTAAATAAATTAAAAATAAGGCATAAAATTATGATTAGAAATTCCAGATATTTATAATTACTTACTGATATAAATTATTATTTTTTTTATAAATATAAGTATGCTAATTAATGTTCTAGTGATCAAGACTTTGAAATGAGTTTAATTGATATTGTAGGTCGATACATTTATTTTACAAGTATGTTTCGTCAATGAAAAGTCGTACAATTTGTGACAAATATCTCAATCTAGTAATGACGGTTTCCTCACTCACATCAAATTAAAATGCCAATTAACTAATTTCTTTACCGAGAAAAATATATAATTTTAAGAAATAAGCATTTTCATATTTTTTGTGGTTGAAGAAAACTGTCCCATTAATGCATCGATATTCTGCTAGACGTGCATACTTAGCCCTAATATGAAACATAAAATTCACGAGTGGTTTTGTATCCCCTATTCAAGTTCTTGCATAATGCCCTCTCACAGGGCTGCATATGTTTTATCACATTCTTAAGTTTTTGTGTACAGCGTGCCATATTTCGGCATTTTTTTACATAAAAATTCCTGAACATTATGAATGAAACAGTACTAAACCAAAAACTTATTTTGTTTAGCGACATCTGTACGAATATTGTTGTGTTTTGTTTGAGGAACGAGGTTAATAATGATTGTTCTTATTAAAAAGTTACAATGATTTAATCAATTTATTGTCATAAGGTAAAGCTACCAATTTTCAGAATAATAATTAAAACAAGACATGCAAAATCCTTAGCTAGCTAGTTATTTAGGATTAATTTTTGATATTAATACATTTCATTCATAGTAAAAGTTGTTTATTGAGATAAGACATATTTATTTAATTCCTGTTGATGTTTAAATATAAAACAATGTATTAGAATCTGTAAAAACTCTTACAATATTTTAATTCAGGAATAGTATGGTATAGTTGACTGCAGGATAGAATTGTTTCATTTTTGTAGTGATTGAAAAAAAAATAATGCGTTGTTTTAATCAGAATCGAAATAGAAAAAAAACAAAGAATTTCCACAAACAAAAGGTTATTTAACATCACAAAAAACGCAAAAAAAGTATCGGTACGCGGTTTTTACCGCCGTTTAATTTTTCTTGAAAATTGAGCCCGAGACGCAACTATACAGGGTGTCCCATTTAAAACGGACTTTAGCTCTATCAATAATACAAAAAAACTTGAACCAAATAAATTTTTTCACTGTTCAAGATCGTTCAAGCATGAAAAAATCTATCTTATAGAATCCCTAAAATAGAAAGCTATGTTAAATTTGACACAGACAAATGAAAAATTTAATTATCTTTTGATTTTATTAAGATCTATTAGGACATATTTCTTATAATTTTATGATTCGATCTTTTTCATATATTTCCAACTTAAAAAATTGATGATTGATCGCACTGTTTTCAATCCAAAATAATAAAAATGTTTTAAATCAACATTTTCCACATAAAAGTTTGGATGGGGCGCCTTAATAGTCTAGCTAGTTTTGCTGATCTAACAAAATCGAAAACGAATTCAATTTTACATTTGTCTGTAGCAAATTTCATGTAGGGTCTTATTTAAAATAATGAAATTATCCCTAATTAAAAACTTTTTCATACTTGCACAAAAAATGAAAACCTCATTTTGTAATTTTATTTCATTTTGGACATATTTGATGCTTCAAAGACCAATTTTGTTCACAAAAAACGTTAAATAACAGCTAAGTATGTTTTAGGCCCAATATATGCTCATAAAAGTCCACCTTAAAAGTATCCTTTAAATTCACCGGAAAACTCAAAAATGCAATAGTACACAAGTTGTTCCATCTGAAAAACAAAGTTAGGTAACGCCCAGACGAAATTAGACACCCTGTATAATTGAAATTAATTTTAAAATGTGAAGAAACCGATCTGGTGCAACTGAAATTGTTTTGTATTATTCATAAATACTACCACAGCTACGGAGGAATTGTTTTAAATGGGACACCCTGTATTTGTCTGTCTCTTGGAAATACGAGGAATCCCTCAAAAACGTTGAAATTTGCCCACCTCTGAGCAAGAACTTATTGATTAAAGAATCATTCTAGGAACGTCCTAATTATTTGTGAAATATCATTAGTCTATATTTTAAGATCTTAAATAAGTGGGTTGAACCATTACTAGCAGTTTGAAAAGTTTTCAAGTATACCACTACAGAAATAGTCTAGGAGGTAAGCTGTTTTAGACAAAAAGCGTTACAGAATTTTTGAAACTTGGAATTTACATAAATTTTGAAGTGCCCTCTTCAAATTACAATTTTACGACCTCAAATTTTTTGTGGTAAAGCCGCCATTTTGCAACGTGCTTTGATGAAACTCATTTCCACATTACCATGAGTATACAGTAAACAACCTTGTTGTTGTCCGTGTTGCTGTTCGTATTTTGACATCTGATATCGAATTAAATTAAATTAAGCAGTTTTTTTAAATTTCGAAACGGGGAGTTCTGTTGAATATAACAGCAGTTCTGCATTATGCTCGAATAGTTCTACCATTTCGTGCAAACCGCGTCACTCTAGCCATTCTAGTTGCCAAGATATCGAATTAAATTAACTTAAGCATTTTTCAAAATTTCGAAATGGGGAGTTCTGTTGAATATAACAGTAGTTCTGCATTGTGCTCGAATAGTTCTACAATTTCATGCAAACCGCGCCGATCTAGCTGCTGTAAATGCGGAGATATCGAATTTAATTAATTTAAGTTGATTTTGAACATTTCTAAAAAGGGAGTTTTGGTCAATATACGAGTAGTAGTAGTTCTGCATTGTATTCGAATAGTTCTACCATTTCGTACAAACCGCCTCACTCTAACCATTCTAGTTGCCGAAATATCGAATTTAATTAATTTAAGCTGTTTTTGAACATTCTAAATATAGAGTTTTGGTCAATATAGTAGTAGTTAGCACTGTATTGTGCTCGAATATTTCTACCATTTCGTGTAAACCGCGTCACTCTAATCATTCTAGTTGACGAGATATAGAATTAAATTAATTTAAGCAGTTTTTGAGAACTTCGAAATAGGGTGCTATGGTGAATATAACATCAGTTCTGCATTGTGTTCGAATAGTTCTACCATTTCGTGCAAACCGCGTTGCTCTAACCGTTGTAGTTGCGAAGATATCGAATTTAATTAATTTAAGCTGTTTTTGAACATTTCTAAATATAGAATTTTGGTCAATATAGCAGTAGTTCTACATTGTGCTCGAATAGTTCTACCATTTCATGCAAACCGCGTTGCTCTAACCGTTGTAATTGCGAAGATATCGAATTTAATTAATTTAAGCATTTTTCAAAATTTCGAAATGGGGAGTTCTGTTAAATATAACAGCATTTCTGCATTGTGCTCGAATAGTTCTACAATTTCATGCAAACCGCGCCGTTCTAGCTGCTGTAAATGCGGAGATATCGAATTTAAATAATTTAAGCTGTTTTTGAACATTTCTAAACAGGGAGTTTTGGTCAATATAGTAGTAGTTCTGCATTGTGCTCGAATAGTTTTACCATTTCGTGCAAACCGCGTTGCTCTAACCGTTGTAGTTGCGAAGATATCGAATTTAATTAATTTAAGCTATTTTTGAACATTCTAAATATAGAGTTTTGGTCAATATAGTAGTAGTTCTGTATTGTGCTCGAATAGTTCTACCATTTCATGCAAACCGCGTTGCTCTAACCGTTGTAGTTGCGAAGATATCGAATTTATTAATTTAAGCTGTTTTTGAACATTCCAAATATAGAGTTTTGGTCAATATAACAGTAGTTCTGCATTGTGCTCGAATAGTTCTACAATTTCGTGCAAACCGCGTTGCTCTAACCGTTGTAGTTGCGAAGATATCGAATTTAATTAATTTTAGCTGTTTTTGAACATTTCTAAACAGGGAGTTTTGGTCAATATAGTAGTAGTTCTGTATTGTGCTCGAATAGTTCTACCATTTCGTGCAAACCGCGTCACTCTAGCTATTCTAGTTACCGAGATATCGAATTAAATTAATTTAAACAGTTTTTGAGAATTTCGAAACCGGGAGCTCTGGTGAATATAAATAACATCAGTTCTGAATTGTACTCGAATAGTTTTACAATTTCAAACCGCTCTAGCTGATGTGGATGCTGCATATGATTCGATAATATGTTGGTATGAACGATTTCGGGACGATCAGTTGGCGACCTGCGAATGAAAAATACTAGCAACACAGAGCACTCACCTCGGACGTACTGGTAGCTCCAGAACTTAGGGCAGGCGACAAAACGGGGATGTCATAATTTGGTGATACATTCCCTTGAGTATAGTACGGTTGCGATTGCGATACATTATTATTTACAACACTCGGCACTGTATTCGGTATAACGGTACTGGTCGGCGCACTATGGGTCTGATTGTGATTAGTTCTCTCGTTTACTAACATTAAATTATTACTGGAAGCTTGGAAGGACTCACTAAGATACTGTTTCACTTGACTCTTTTGCTTCTCCATTACATGGTACCTAGTAGGGTTCTCTAACTTCGTTTGAACTTGGAGAACTTGCAGCGGGACGCTCGTCAGACTATGAAGCGGAACCTTCACGGGGGGTGGTATAGGCTTTGAATTGTGCGGAGGTAGCTCTTTCTGCGGCTGTGGGGGTCTCTCTATTCTGTCTTGGGCTTGTCGTTGTTGTTGCAGTATGGCTTGGTCCCTCATCAGTTGAAGCTTCAGTTGAGTCCGAGATAAGGGATTCGTAGTCTTCAAATTCGGCGTGCTGAAAAACGTGCATGGTTTATACAAGGCGGCTGTTTTTCGAACCACGTCATGGAGGTCTAGGTCTAATAGGTCCGACCGAGATCCCCATGGTGCGGCCCGAAAAACGAACACCCTGTATATATCAATTTTGTAACCGTTATACATGTTAGTTTATTTGAAACCGCCCAGAGAGCTAAATTTTGATGGCTGTACAAGATGTTTTTGATAAAGGTGCCACAATTTGAGAGATTGATGGAACATAAAAAGTAAGATACGGACCATGGGCTTACCTTTTTTTTGTTTTTGAGATATGGGGCGTCAAAGACGGTTCTTTAAAATCAAATAAAAAACATTGTAATTTGGTACAGTTAGGTTTTTAGGGCTTGTCAGTAATGGTTTGCCAAACAGGTGCAACGAACACTATGGTCCATTGAAAATCCCCACATTGTAAATCCAGTCCAAAACCAAGGTCATTTTGGAGTAAATGTATGGTGCGGCATCATCAGTGGGCATTTAATTGTGCCTTATTTTTATGAACATACATTGAACTGCGTGAGTTACCTAAATTTCCTACAAGAACAACTTCCTGCACTTCTGGAGAATGTGCCTTTGCAGCTAAAGAGAAATAAATCTATGCAGCAATTAGATAACACTTTCCCAGAAAAATGGGTTGGGCTTAATGGACCTATTCAGTGGCCCGGTAAGTCACCAAATCTAACACCCCTCGATTTTTTTATGGGGGGTTTTAAAAAATAAGGTTTACAAAACACCTTCGCGAGATATTAATCATTTGAAAGAAAAAATTACAAACGCTCGTAATGAGTTAAACGGCGAAATGTTAATAAACGCAGACCACAAAGAAATCAGGCGAAGATTGGATATGTGTCTTGAAATGAGAGGAGATCATATAGAGAATAGATTGTAATATATATGTAGTATTTTAAGTTTAGTTATTGTTATCATATTATCATCACCTTTTGTTTTAACTGTATTAAAGAATTATTGAGTTTTATTTATTCTTAATGACATTTATACACTTTAAACAACGAACATTCAATTATTTTCCAACGAATACTTGATCTTTCCACCGCTAATGTGATTTTTAGGTGGTATTTCTTTTGTGACTCTTATACAGAAAAATTTCTCTAATAGTTTATTAGAAAAAAGAAATCTTTTTAACAGGTAAAACATTTGGGTATGTTTCTGATTAACCAATTTTGAATGTTTCAAAATCGATTTTCCTGGCATTCCCTTCGTTGGTCTGGTTATTTATTACCTCGTTAAATTCTTTTTGTATATGCTGATTGACATTGCGCTAGGTTAGGTTTACAGTCGACTAAATTCCAGAGGCGTACAGATAAATACTTCATTCCATTTTTACTCTATGGTATTTGCATGAATCCCTTCTACATCTAAATCGACGAAAAAATAAACACGAATTTAATAAAACTGAATTGTTCACTGCCGCTTGTTGTAAAACTGACTTCACATTGTAGTTAGTAGGAGTAGTAGTTGTGTAACACCAGCAATAACAAAAAAAACTCAATAACAAATCTTTTACTGCATGTATCATTAGATTTGGCATTATTGAGTACCTTAAAGTCAAGAAATGGTAATATAGGGTATATTTTCCCACCAATTGTTTTGGAAGGTATAAGACCAAGTATCATTGAAACGATGGCCAATAAGCTGAAACGTCTTTGTTTTTCTAAAGATTCTTTGATAATCTTCATATCATGTTTCTTGTCAATAACTTCACTCGTCATTACTGCTACTTACCCCAGATCAACCAAACTTGGACAAAGGCAAACGCTGTGTGCAATATTTCTTCAATTTTTCAAATCAAAAGCACATCACGGAATATCAAAACTCGACGAATATTCAGCAGTAATTTTAAAACTTTGGAGGAGTAACATTGGGAATGTTGACAAAGGAAGTTTAGCTACCAAACGTAATTAATTTGAAGGTAGAACAAGATTTTACACCACAATTTATCTAGGAGACATATCTTGAACGGCAGTAGACAATTGTCTTAGTTAAATGACAGATAAGATATCAATTTGTTACTAGTTAATGAGAGATATAGCAAATGAGCGTGGAAAATTCGGTAAAATGGACCGTATTGAAGAAACGACCAAATTAAAAGGAGTTCCAATGAAAATCATTTGGAAAATTGTGAAAAGCCTAAAGGGAAATAAAGAATGGGAAATGGGAATGGGAAAAATTAGATGGGAGCGATTTTAAACAAATTCGCATTTATCTAACTAAATATAGTCAACGTTTCCATAATTATGTACAACTAATTTCTAATTAGAAATTCCATCTCTTATATCCATGACTCGCTACTGACGGTCAGGATTTTTGAATTTTTACTGATAGACGTTGAATTCCGCAAAAAGCTTTCTTGAGATATAGCACGTCCAAATGTCCAAGCAAAAATATCCCCTTTTGTTTATTAAGGGTGATAATAGAATGTTTCTTAGCAATATCATCAATTAGGAACCATTTGTGGGGGAAGAACATTGATTTCATTTGATAAGATTAAAAAAATTGATACGATTTTTTCTGTATAAACTTACGTACTTGAAAGTTAAACGATAAACTGATATACGGTACAATCTGTGTGTTATAGTAGGGAAGATGTAGCCAAAAGAACGCAACTCTGCTAGAAAAGATTACTAGTCTGTTCCTATGCTACGAAATCTTGCATCATCTACCATTATAAGCGAAAGGTCCATCAAACCCTATACATCAACGTATCCGGGAGATAACATTCTCTCCAAATACATAAAAAAGTATACAGGGTGACTCTATCTTTCTAAGCCGCTGCTCTTAGAACAATGTATCCAGCAGTCACTAAACTTGTTTTTATCTCACTGTAAATGTCAGGCTAACGAGATAAAGATTTTGTGTAAACATTACAAGGACGTATGGTAATAAATAAGTCGCAATATGTTAACGTTTTGAAAACGCTGATTTCGTTTTTGTGTACCTACACCTAGTAACAGTATATATATATATATNNTCGGAAGATATCAGTAATATATATACACGTATATATAAAACGCATTTTTTTAAATATTTATTAATTTTAAGGGATTTATATATGTTTAAAACTGAAAATATGACATATTCTGTAACATTATTTAAACGCTTGAAACGGTTGGGACCTAAATATTTCAAACGTATTTATTAAGCAACGAGTTTTATTATTCCAACCAGTGGCACAGCGATAATCAGTGGCAACAAAACATGTGGTCAAGGATTTGACCTTAATAAAGAGAAATCACGCCAGCAGCCAGCAAGAGAATACTTTCGAATAGAGTACTGTAATTTATTCAGCCTTGAAGCTGTTAAGTAAAAATCAAACAGTTTTTCCATTAATATGCTTCTTGTGGCTCTAAATATTTTTAAAACTTGTACTCGAAATATTTGGAATTATCGCCTTGATTAGTACCATTAAAATAATGTTTTTGACGAGTAAATATAGAACTAAAGCAGCCATATTGTACTAAATCTACACGACCATTTGGGATTATTTTTTAAATTCGCTACTCTAATACTATCCTACATTTACACTCACACAACATAAAAACATAGCATGAAAAATGCATAATATATAACAGATTTTATGAATAATAACATTTACATAATAATGTAAATTATATTTCTACGTCACAAGCTAATATTTTATTAACAACAAGTATTTTCATTGATTACTGAACAATATTAACACAAGCGGAAGCAGACTTATGATATATTTCCCATGTTTCAAAAATAAGTCTAAACGCTATCGCGAATTTAAAAAAAGAACGTACTTAAGATTAGAAAATCAATGATAATTTATTTTTGTTGATAATATTTACACTACTCTAGACTCCTTTCATGCCAAATTTATTATTTGAAATGATCGATGAAATATTCGAGGCGCCCAAAACTTGCCTTCGAAGTATAAAAGTTTTGCGGAATTTCATATCCTTGATAGCATATTCCCTTTCCAATGCATTCCAAAGCAAAAATAACAGACGCGAAGCTTCAAGAATTTCAAAATTCGAAAACATGCCATTTTTTCGCCTTAGCTCCCGCACTAACGCGGAACATTTTTACGTTATCAAAAACAAATACGGGCTCATCAAATTTCTTACGCTATTTTTAAGAAAAACCGTTTCAAAATTCATTTGCAAAGCCAATTACGCGGCCTCCTACATTCAAGTGTTACTAATGTGTGCTTTTTTGAGTGACATGAGAAATTTTTATTTTTAATAACCAGAAATTGTGAGCAACGCATTTTTTCTTGTCTTGTATTGTTAAATATATTCGTTCATTTTGCTTAAAAGAGCATACGTATAATTTTGTATACAGGATGTAACACTACATCAAGTACGTAATACTTGAAAAAATGGCGTACATCATGAACAAATTATGTCTCGAGATACTTTTAACACTGTATTTCAAAAGCAGGAACTTATACAGGGTGTTAGAAGTTTGACTACCTTAATTTTAACAGGCGAGAGAATACATTAAAATAAATAAATAAACTCAACCATTTCCGAGTAAAAAATTATCAAAATCTCCAACTTGATGTACAAAAGTTCGATTAATTAAGGAATATTGACATAACTGCGAGCATAGAATACCATAAAATACAATGTTTATCACTTTTTTTAACTTCTTTATGCTTAATTCTAAAAAATAATTAGCGTTGTAATAAATTTAAAATTCGATAAAATTCATATCGAGCAATGTGACAACGGCGCGGCGGATAACACGTCCAGCAATACGCAATTCAATTGGTATCTGGAATTGGACCGTGTCTCAGTGTTTTTTGCGTACCACTATTTCCTTTTCTAGAAGTGTTTTCCAGCGAGTGCGCGGAAATTAGTTTCGAAAGTGGTGGATATTTTAAGGATATGTTGTAGTTTGTTTTGTACTTGTGCATTTAAAAATTACTGAATTTTGCTTTTTAGTAAGTACCTAAATTATTTTTAATACGTATGGTTTGGGTACTATAATTACATATTTTTCAAATTCATAATCGATAAATTTTATTTTATTTATTTAAAAAACTGGAAAACAATTGTCTTGAAATTTACTAAATGTTTCACAATAATAGTTGTTTATATTTTAGTTATTCCAGGACAAGTCTGCCGCGTGCACGCGTGGTGTGCATCAGCTGTGTAACATTAAGTTAAGCGCTGTTGCCACGTTGTGATGAAACTCCCCAATATTAATACTAGCTGTATTTTGAAAACTGTTCCTTATCCTTATCTTACGCCCCTGTAATATACAACTTTTTTGTTCATTTATGATTACTCTACTCATGCTGAAGTAATGGCAGTCAAACTTCTTACACCCTGTATAACACCCGTAAACTCTAAATTAATTTTAACATATATTTTCGTTCAAAATACAATTTTTTTACTCAGTTAGTTATTTTGCCGCCTTTAAAAAAATATAAAAGTTAAGGTTAATGAAACAAAATAGAAAAGTTAATGATACTCTTACATCGAAAGGACTAGTCAACAGTTATTTTTATTAAACTATTTCTGTCTAACTAAAAATAACGCATTTATTATTCGTCTGCTTTTTAGGTGTTAGATTTTTTATCATTCAAAAATAGTTCAATAAAAATAACTCTTGATTCATTTTTTTGACGCGAGAATTTATTTAATAACTTTTTTTTTCGTCCGTGACAAAACGCCCAATAGAGAGAAAAACTATGCTACAAATTAATAACTGCAGACAATATACAAACTGCATTTCAAAAATAACAAAGTTTTTTTTCCAGTGGTGTGCCAGCACACCTCATATCTACACCACTGATTTAATCCGAGACTCAATTTTTTCACGTTGAGCGCCATTTTAGCCATACATTGTGCACATCTTAATTTGTGCACATCTTAATTTGTTCGGAAGATATCAGTACATAACTTTTTTTTTCAACTTCTTCCTCATATTTTTGCCATAAAAAATTATTTTTACGAAATTTTCTTTCAGTTTCAAAAAAAATAATTGATTGTTACGCTGCGAAGCTACAAGTCAATCTTGGGGTTATATCATTGTGTTTTTGGACAGAATTAGAGAGATATAAGGCTTGACAGGTCCATCTCTAATAGTAAGAAAGATCAGGTCAAAAGAGTCTGACGTGTTAGAAAGAGAGAGATATTTTTAGTTGCTAGGCAACCAAGACTTTGTATACAGATTATGTTTATAGCATACTCTTTTAGTCATTTCCCCCATATTAACAGATATAGACCTACTATACCTTTATTATCAATGTAATTCTGAAAAAATGTCATATTTAAATATGTTAGGTTTGTATCTTCAAAATGCAACAGTCAGTTGTTTTCCTAAGAATTAAGAAATGTCCTACCAAGTGTTTCAAAAATAAGGGAAAGTAAAATGGCAAAAATCAAAATTTTATCAAATATTTTTGTGGTTTCTTGTAACACATTATAATAATAATTTAACAGTGATAACTATGTCTCGATTTCGTCGTCTTTGTAAAAATAATTTGCTTAGATATAGTAATATAATACGTTATTAAAAATGAAGTTTTAGGAATAATTAAAAAATCAAAAAAAGACCTAATATGTGTACGTACCCCTATGGATTCTATATAAAACACAGAATGTTTAACTGTGCGAAAATAAAAAAATTGCACACAAGAAAAAGTTTATCGTCATGATAAAACACGATCAGAAATAAAAAACATCCTGTACCTCTTAAATACATCAAGATGTCGAGGTGCGGTTTTCAATTTTTTTTTTTTTTTTTTCAAAAAACCATCTCAAAACGATAAAAATTGTCACAGGAACTGGTACAAGAAAGAGACGTTTTAATTATGAAAGATATATCACAATTATTTGAAATACATAGTGTAAATATTATACAAATATTAAATACATCTTTTTTTCAGTGTCAGGATTAGGTTAATAGATTCGTATAAAGAAAGGTATTTCCTCATGAAATCGCTTAAAGAGTATGTTGCTCTTGGCAATATATCAGATAAATTTATTAGAATTGAACTTGGAAGCTAATAATAGCGACATTAAAATAAAAATCTTGTACGGCGTGGATTTTGGTGTATTCGAAATAATGATAATGATTAGTACCAAATAACGTTTAAAATATGAGAATTATAGTTTAAATAAGTAAACAGTAGATAATGTGTAGTGAGGATTGTTTACAAGTTAGCATGAGTCATGTAGTGTACTTATTGTTGGGTTTTTAAATTTGACGTGTGGGGTAGAGGGTTTATGTTCATTAGGTTGGTGAACATTGCGTTTTTGTCAGTCCCGCCAAATCCGTTTGAAAATAGTGACATCGAATAGCTGCACAATAATCGAGCCGGACTGGCTTTAATAAAATGCTCACCTTTCGGACACGGGCATAGTCTTTGATGTCAGTTCGTAAAATTCTTGGTTTTTCGGGGTCCCCAGCAAATCGTCAAAATCTATAGCACTCTCGATATCGAAGTCCTCAGAGAGGAGGGCCGACAAATCGTATCCTATGTCTATACCTGACTCAGCCATTTTATCACAATAAATTCACAGATCTGTTTACAAAAAATTTATACGCTCCTGTTGCCATATTTACGATCAGAGGGGGCTGAGCCCAGCACTCACGCGGCCCCCTTTAGGCAGCCAGTAGTTCGATTCGAACGCAACTGATTTTTTGCCAAGCTAACAACAATGTCACGGACAAAGTCGGTTTGGTGCGCTGCTCGTGCTTACTTTAACACTTAAGTTTAATCTGGTGGGAAATACGAACGACATGTTGTAATATAGTCGACTTTCAGTCGATGCGAGATCATTTAATCGCTCTTCTAGCTTCCACCGAAACCACGCTGAGGCTACTCCGGCCTTACATATTTAACAATTGGTATACATTTACATATTTTATAAAATTTGCTGTGAAATCTCCCCAGATACGCTTATAAAGTAAGTAATATTTACAAAACCGACGAAATCTAACAAACGCCTTTCTATTACATTTAAATAAAAATAGTTCTACTTATATTGCGCAAGAATACGAAAACTTGTGTTAAATTTCCATTTAATTTTCCCTGGGTCTGCAAAGGCGTGCATTGATTTTGTTTGCGATAATTTTTCAAAGACGAAAATAAACTAGTCTATAATTATTGCGTTACGTTTTGCTGGAGGTACGCAATAACGTAGAAAAATATATTTGTATGTATATTTAGAAGTCCGAACAATAAGTTGTAAGTACTTAAAATACGGAGATTTAAACAAAGGCACCTGTTGTCTTTTAACTTACTGCTCTGCATTTTTTTCTATGAAGGTGTTTCTAAAACAGTGTAGGCGCATAATTTTACGAATCCAATTTATTTTTTTCTACGAGCTACTCGACTTGCATGTTCAAAATGTAGATGGCGCTGTTGAATGTTACCTTTAAATGTAAAGTTGTTAGTCTCCAAACAACGATTGTTGCAGATTTAGAAATGAAATAAGTGCTTTACTCCCAAATGCAGAACCTTCATAAATGATTACAACCCACGTGACCTGTAATTTTTTTTGGAAGAGTAATTTAAATTTAAAGACATTAAATTTGTTGTAATTTTTCATGAGATTCTATTCAACCAATCAGCGATCATATTATCTCGAGCGTAACGTAACGGTTTGTCAATGTTAGGGAAGATTTAGGAATTTTTAGTTGACAGTACCAGCCGCGATATGTTGGTTGCCTAACCTCGGAGGTAAGTAAAATTAGTCATTAATTAAAACTATTTTAAAAACTGACTTTACAGTGAATAACTTTATAAATTTAAAATTTTGAAATAGGCAATTTTATACTTTTTAAACCGGTTTCACGAATTTTGAAAATTTAAAACCTAGAAATTAACAATTAACATTATTTTACAAACATATTATCCTTTAAACCGGATATTTTTCAAATCAAAAATTCTATGAAGAGTAATTGAAATGAAAAAATTGACATCTATTCCAAACTCATCAGTTTCGATATACAGAAAGTTTTTGTTAAACTTCCAAACAATATCAGGAAAATTACCAGCTCTTTAAAATAGAACAACTCAACGACTCAAGAATGTATTAGATACAACTACTTTAAAATTAGTTTATTTTGAAGAAGCTATAACAAAAACTGGTTATTTTTTGAAAACGTTTATATTACAATTTACAAGAATCGAACTGGTTTTCGGGTGTATTAATTTCCAAAGTTACTTTCAGCGAAAAATGTCTTTGATTAACTAACATTTGTACTGCTATGAAAAGTAATGTCATTTGGATTTAGAATTGAAGAATTGGAGTCATTTATGTACTACACAACATTCTTACAACTGAATTTTTTTCTTTTAAACCTTTTCAAACGTAGTCAAAATTTAGTATAGGTATCACTGTTTGCAACATAAGATTACAGCATTACAACATATAAAAATATAATGTTAGTTTATAAATAATAAAAAGATTATTTGAAAATATTTTATATATTCCTTTACGATTTAGGTACAGCGCAGCTTGTCAAACGTAACGTGGCCATCGCATCTGCTAATCAGGAGATACGATGAAAATTCATCATCGTTGGCAACGCTGCACGATTGTGATAAGAGCAGACGTAGTCTATAGTAGCAATGCGCATCTCTAAGCGCAATATACGGTATTTGGAAGCTGTACGCAACTGAAATGTTGGAAAATTTATCTCGTTTTGCTGATATAAAATTTGATGAAAGGGAGACTGTAAGAAATTTACGATAGGATCTAATTTTTTTTTACTCAAGAGTTCTATTGTTTAAAGTGAATTTTAGTTAGTATTATTTGATAGCTGTGAGTCTGTTGTAACTTTTACTAACAGGTTTTAAAATCCCCGTTCCAGATTTTGGTAAAAAAGACTTGGTTCCGGATAAACGAAATTTGTCTGTCATAAATTAAATTTAATGTTTTACTTTTTTAATATTTTAAAGCACTTTTTGAATAACTTTCACCACATCATGGAAATTACACACATACACAAAAATAACATGTGATCAGTTCGTGTTTCGACCCTAACCTCAAGGCACTCCCCTAGAAAACGGTCTTCGAGATTGGAGACTCACTTGAGTAGTCAGTGATTAAAAAAACATTCGGATTCATGGCCTGATTGTACCATAACTTCGAAACCCCATAACAGTGGTCCAAACATACATGTCTGTGAGTTGGCAGGCTTCCATAACAACAGTAATACCGGAGCCCCATAACCCTAGGTGTGCGAGGATGTATAACTACGAAATCCTGAAGAATTGAGCTTGTAGTTCTGTTAGCTAACATGCCCCTTGACCCGGGACATGATCTGGGACATACCAATTCGTGTTACAAAGTCACCCGTGGTTCTTTCTCTACATATATATTGTTAAAATGTAATATAGCTTCTTTCATTGTAAAATCAATGATCGTAACTTTTTGCGATCAAAATCGTTTAAATAACAGGTTGCAGGGTTATAGGGTTATGGTGCAACGCACACAAGAATTCAAATGTTTTTCCAGTCCCAAAAACCACTTTTTAGAGGAGTTTCTTGATGTTAGGGTCAAAACACATATTGGATACACTGATCTGGTCTATGGCCCAGACCATTTTTTTTGTGGCACTGTTTTATCAAAAACCATCCTTAAAACCTAAAAACCAAACAAAAGCCTGCTTGTAACATGCTTCTCCTTGGTCATCACAGTATTAGAAACGAGTCGAATCATGATATTTCTAGACTCGTTGCATATTTTAGATATTCAGAGAGTCTGTGAACCTTTCAGCTTCTGGCGAACACCAAAAACCCACCCTTAAATAATAAAAATCAGCTGATATTCTACCTTCGGCGAATTCAAGTCATAAACTTGAACCACAAATTTACAGTCGGGAGACAGCGAGAGTTACACACCCTGCACAGAAAACAAATGAGCAACGCGAGTTTCGCAGGCATATTCCTGGGCATCAATCATGTAACCTTGCAATTCTTGAAGACCTAAAATCTCCTACAACTTTATATTTAGTAGGTTTTTCTTTGGATGAAGGCACTTGCGAATGAGTCGAGAAAATTGACTTGGTAATAGAGCTACACAACCAACATCAGTACAGTAACCTTTAATTATTCTTTTTTCTTTTCTATTTTTCTCTTTTATCTTCCAACGATCTATATAGAGAATTTCTTGTTCTCTTTTTCCCTTCATGTGTGTATCTCATTTTAACCTTCAACAGTAATTACTGAAAAAGGATAACTAAAACTAAGCTTTAAGTGTAGTTTTTTGCTCTACTCATTGACTACATTAATAGACTTCAGATATACCACGATTACAGATAGACTCCTTCACAGATCCTCATTCAAAGAGAAACCCAGAACCTGTAGGGTTACAGGACCGGCATTGTCTTCGTATGTATGTCCAGGACATGTGTCCGGTATTGGATGAGCGAATCATACAGCATACAGTATAGTGTCTGGGTATCCAAATACATGGCGTGATATCTCATGCATCATACAAACCACTTTTTTTATATGTGTCTGTGTTATTCTTGTACGAACTAAATCTATATTCAGTATATGAACCTCGAGAAGATAAAACCACACATCATTAATACTATATTAAAAATTAATTCCATAGGATTCATTTTGTGTAATGATAAAGATAGGCAACCAGATGTACACGGAGCAAGGAATTTTAATTCATTCGATTAAGTCTGATATACAGGACGTTTTAAAATTAAGCCGTAAAGAAAATATATGGCGATATAACTAATCTTACCTCGATTCAAACTTATTTCATTTGATCGTCGCTAGAGGGCGACAAAGTAGGCAAATCATGTGTTTCTTCCAAATTCTTTGGAACACGATTGTTAGCTTTAAATAAAACTTAAAGTGTTGAGTAGTTGTGTATAGATTATAGATATCACCTTTTGGCATAGCAACTGCTTCTTTTAAGCAATAAAATTGAGAAATGTAGCAAACAGAAATATTAAGCAATAATGAAATATTAAAAAAAATAATAGAACAACATTTATGTAACAGAAAATTTTTATTTTTGGGTCAAACTCTTTGATACGTGGTGGTCAACCTTGTCGTCTCTGAGGAGCAGCCAGCTATGCCGTAACATTAAACTAAAATTTATAAACGACACCAAAATTTCCATTCTATAATTTTATTCTCAGATGAAGGTAATTTTATCCACAATGGAATTCTTAGTTTCTACAGTATCCACTAGTGGTCTATTGAAAATCTCCATACCCCATCGCAGTAATTTGCAAAAACACTTCTCCATTAATGTTATTCCCACACTATCAACAAAATTTAATAGGACCTTTTGGCAACCAAACTACTCCATTGGGGAACATTTTGAAGTTTTTAAGCGTGATTTACCAGTTTCTCTTGAAAAACTTCCTCCCGGATTAATAGCCCTTCAAACAAACAGAGAAGAATGTAGTTTTTATTCTTTTCCTTAAAATGGGTACAAATAACAACCCCTACAAGTAATTTCCCGCGTAACTCTTTATTCTATCGCCAATACGGTCTTTTAGAAATCCCTTTTGGATAGCTTGATTTATTAGAAAACAATTTTTGACATCTCGTATTTTTTCGTAATTATACAGGATGTCGCGCTTAAATGTGATACAAGCCTGTACCTTCTTTATTTTTTAACCGATTTCAAAAAAATTTTTTATAGAATGTAGGATAAAAAAACACTCTATCTAACTGTAATACTGCTAATTCGTATTAGCGATTTTATTCCAAAAAACAGATTACGTATTTCATTCAGCATCCCTTAAAATGTCTTATCACCAAGTTTCATCAAATTCGATACATCTTCAGACGAGCACTAGTTGGCCGTGTATTGCATTAATAAAAAATAACAGTATCACAGTTAGGTAGAATTTTTTTTATCCTACATTCCATAAAAAAAAATTTGAAATCGGCCAAAAAATAAAGAAGTTACAGGCTTATATTACATTTCGCGAGATCATGGAGTACTCGCCTGAAGATATAACGATTTTGATGAAACTTAGTGGTAAGACGTTTTAAGGGATGCTGAACGCAATCTGTTTTTTGAAAAAAAATCGCTAATACCAATCAGCTGTTTTGATGTCAAGAAAACGAATCCTAGTTGGCCGTAAATTGCATTAATAAAAACACCAATATCACAGTTAGATAGTTTTCTTATCCCACATTCCAAAATAAAAATTTTTCAAATCGACCAAGAAATAAAGAAGTTACAGGCTTGTATCACATTTAAGCACCACCCCCTGTATAATAATAGTTTTTAATAGGCCCTATTTTATACACAGGATTTTGCTCCGTGGGAAAGCTTTTATTGCAACAAAAATACATTAAAGTGAACGAAAATAAATTTAAAAACCCTAATTATAAATGGAAAACCATAAAATATAGTAAATGCAGGAAATTACCACCTCCCACTATTACACAGGACTCCATACGTGGAAACATTGATCCAAGTACACAGTTAAAGTTCCTGGAGAATTTTTAATTACCATGCATAAATTTTTTAAATGATTCTACATAGAAAAATCTATAGCATTTAAATTGATTCGTTTAAATATTATTGGGCTCATACAGTGAAAACATAAACCAAAGCCGAACTCTGACAAATAGAGTGATCTTCATTCAAAATGAATTTTTGGCCACGAAATAAAAAATTAATTTCTAAACACTTGTTTTTTTCTTAACTAGTTTTGTATCATATGGTTTAATATAGCAAACACCCTGTATATATCCTTCATACTTATTGGATATTTACATTTGAAACACAAATGGAAATTGTTCTACTCGTTTTAAGGAAATTTTGTCTTAGTAGCTTTTTATCAAATCCTGCATTTATCAATACATACTAGAAAACGTCACTCTTTATTTTATATGCAACATATTCATAAATAAAACAAATTATATTTAGTAAATTTTAATAGAACTAAGTCAGCAAAAAGACAAATGAACCTCAATTGCGTCCAGTCGTATAAAATAGTTGTAGTGGTAATTCTATATCATGATATATTTATTTAAAATCTTGTTAATAACAGTGCTGATAAAATTTTTATATACGCAGACCGATTACGACGACTTCAACAGTAGCAGTACAGATTTAGATCAATTATGGAAGAAATTTAAGGTAAAGCATTTAAAAATTATAGTATGTTTTCATTAGTACGATTTGGATAAAAAAATATATATTCTGGCCAATTTGTAAGTACTTGTTTGTTAAATTTTTCAGAATTATACATTTTATATTATCATCAAAGCAGTATGACACAGTATATCTTAAACTGAACAAACTTTTAAGAACGTGGTTTCAAGTTTATTAATTAAATTTTTTTCAGTATTGTAAATTTATCTCGTGCAACATTATCAATCATTTAAATTATTGATTCCAGAATATATTTTGATGCCATTAACAAATAAAACTTGTAGTCCATAACGTCACACAAATCGTTAATAAACATAATAAATAGTAAACGACCTAAATTGGACCCCTGTGGCACTCCTGAAGTATTGGATTTGAAATCACTATAATAAATATACTGTGGCCTATTATGCAGGTGTGATATAAACAAATTCAGTAATGGAGCTTTTATTCCCATATAATCTAATTCATCTATGATTATGTTATGATCTACCTGATCAAAGGTTTTTGAAGTCAGTGTACAGGGCCTTAAGAAAAGAGTAAAAAGTTTTACCTATCTTCTAAAAATATTATATATTCTCCCGCATTTTTCTTCATAGCCAAGAAAGTAATTGTTTTCCGCAATATCAACTGTTAGGAATTTTGTTTGTGAGGTTAGACATTCTGTGCATACCTAGATTTCTGGTATCGAAGAACATTGCTTGACTTAATGTGATAAAATGTAAAATTTAATTTGTTTGAATGTGCTTAACACCTTTATAATGGAGAAAAAAAACGAAGAGCACTCCAAAAAATTTAAAAAAAGTGCAGATGAATAATATGCAGTTTCTCCAGTAAGGATGCCCAGATATTTAGGTACTATTACAAAATACAACTTAAATACTAATACTGGAAATTAGCATTAACGAAACAAGGGGTCAGTGATTTTAAAACCGAATGCTGCTTTACATAAACACAAGTTAAGAATAAAAAATAATTTTATTCTTGTCATTTAATACATATGTAGCAGTTATTTTGCAACTCCTACGTTCCTGCCAATTATGAAGCTGGCTATAACTACCATTTACCGACTATACCGGTTGTTTTATTTTAAGAACACAGTCTAATTTTAAAATGAATGACAGAGATGCTTTATGCCAAGAAACAATACAGGATACAATCCAATGCCATGTAAAAATTATAAGTCAAGAAAGTAATTAAAACATAGGCAATGATCATTTTTATAGTTTTATTAGTTTTATTAGTTATCCATATACAACGTTACCAATAAAGTAAATATCGTAATGTGGAAAAATTTGTGAATAAAGGATTTCTGAAAAATTGGTTTCTGTTTAAAAAAATCATGTGCTTTAACGCAACAATATAATTTGATTAATCGAATTTTTATTTTATATTACAAAAATAAAGACAATTTTGAGTGCGTGCGTCGTTGTTATTTATTAAAAACAAAATCAAAAACTAGCAGTTTTACACAGTCAAAGAAACTGGTCATAAAGAAATTATAAGAATAGGCCTGGCGCTAATTTTTCAACAATTGAATTCTTTTTTATACATTTTTAATTTAATTTTGATTTAATTGATTACTATACTCGTACAATATACAAGAGGGTTTCTGCAGAAGCCTGGAAAATCTCGAAACTGGAGATACGGGTTAACAAAATAAGTCGATTGAGCCAAATATGCCTTATACAAATATTGCTGGTTTCAAATATACAGGGCGTTCAATATTTGTGAACAAAAAAAAATTGGCACTATTGTATTTTGACATGACAAATAAGAATTTTTAACTAATTTTGACGTTGCTCGTATAGGGCGTCAGTTATGCTCTATTCCTTTGATAAATAGGGGAATTTTTTTTTGCCTTTGTAATTACGGACATTTTATATTGAAAATACAATCATAAAAAAGTTACTCTTGTTCGTTTTCGATATTTCCCTTAGCTATCGAGATATTTGCATATACAAATTTCAATGGATTTCGTTTTAAGCAACTGACTCTTAACTGTTACAGGAAAAGTTCAATAAAACCTACACTGGTTACCACGACATAATGAAGAGAGTGGCGTGGGAAGAAAACTTGGAAAAAATTAGAAAACACAACGAAGAAGCGGAGCAGGGATTACACACTTACTATATCAAAGAGAACCATTTAACCGATATGGTAAAAAACTGATATTGCTGCTAGCTATTAAAAATATGTAATTTTTTCAATAAATTGTTAGTCGCCTCAAATCTACCTTCAAAGAATGGTGAAACTGACGACAAGCAGGCATAGAAAAGTCGATTCTGAGACTGTGGGGGATTTTTTCGAAAGATTACATCACTTACCAGAAGAAGTAAATTGGATGGAAATTGGATTTCAAACTCCCACTTCCAATCAGAAGGACTGCGGATCGTGCTACGCTTTCAGCGTCGTAGGGGCTATTCAAGGTCAACTCTTCAAACAAACTGACAAGTTGGTTCCTTTAAGGTAATATATTATGGATATTATGTTGGGCAACGCAATAATTAACAGTAGTATAATTTACCACTTAATTGTCCTAAAACAAAATTAGAACTTTTGCTGTTAAATCAAAGATACCAAGTACGAGTGTTTACTAACACCTTGCTCATTCAGATTTTTTTTCGCCACAGTTCTGAATCAGGATAACAGTGGAACAGTTCATGTGGGTTAACAAGTGGTTAGAGCAGTGTCTTTTGCATTAATAAGATTCAATGTATGTAGTTTTGTGAGAGGATGTGATGTGAGAAGGTGAGAGGGAAATATAAGTCAACATTTTTATCCCATATTATAACTCCAGTGCCAAAATAGTAGGCAGTACGACGAGTTGCGGGGAATGCGTTTGCATGGGCGTATCATTCTAGCGGGTTCCAAGGTTACTCTGAAACAGTTTCAAAGTAACTTTTGAAGATGAGAGTGATATGTCTCTCGAAACGTCAAGAGTTGTAAATCGACGACGTGTCAACCAGCCCGGAAATCATTCAACTTTTAACTCTTGTATCTAGAGACTTGTTTTTCTTTCCCATGTGCATAATGTCTTCCTAGTTACCTGATTACCTACATATTACATTACATAGGTATCGTTTCCTACAGTAATACCTTAACATTTCGCAATTAAAGGTTGTGTTATTTCCTGCCACATAAGTTTTTATATCAGCCCAAATTAGTCCAATGGGCTCACAGTGACATGCTGCCGAATCAAATCTGACAGATATATTTGACGTGACCGTCATTTAATATTATTTTTTTTAACAAAAACGATTGTAAAAATTACATTTTTCCCATATGATGCGCTTATTGTGTACAAGATACTACATTAGTACTTCCTTGTATTTTTTTCAGCGAACAGCAAATAATAGACTGTAGTGTACCCTACGGAAACTATGGATGTGGAGGAGGTTCTCTTCGCAACACTTTGAGATATTTAGAAAAAGCTGGAGGACTTATGGCATATATAGACTATCCATATGTGTCAAAAGTAAGAACTAATGCTTTTCTTTTTTTTTGTATTTAATTAGTATACTTATCATTTTCTATTCTATTTCAGCAACAGCGATGCTATTTTGATAAACATAGAGCATTAGTCAACATAACCTCCTGGGCAGTTCTTCCTGCAAGAGACGAGAGAGCTTTGGAAATAGCGATTGCTAAAATCGGACCAGTTGCTGCGTCTATAAATGCTAGTCCACACACGTTCCAGCTTTACCAGTAATTAATTAGAAATATATAGGGCTGTACTGGGTTGTATATATACAATATATACAACCCAGTACAGCTGTTCAAAATTGTGCCCATCTTTATTAGTTGTTTCTGGTTATTCTAAAAATAAGGAAGTTTCTCGCGCAAGGAATCGAAAATTGTCACACAATAAAAAGGGTTGTTGAATTTGTTAATATGTGTTTTTAAATGCCAAAAACAATGCAACATTTCATAAATTTAAAGATATACAGGGTGAATCTTAAACATGTATATGCGCATAATTTTAACTACTGGTAAATCGCGATGTAAATGAAAGTAATCTTTTAAATTGTAAATATTTATGGATATTGTGTACATTTTGAGAACCGCGGTTCACATGGAACATAACCAAACCCCTGTGCGCTGCTGGTTGCAGAACTTGTGACGTCAACTTTTCACCGATCTTTCTAAATTTTCCGCCGTCGTACTCAAAACTGCTCCAAGCAGTCAAGACCGCTTACACACAGCGGTCAACACCGCCTTCGATCTATGCTGCGTACCGCGGCATCGATCGACGCGGCGCGAGTCAACTTTTCACCAATCTTTCCAAATTATCCGCCCTCGCGCAAGCAGGCCGATAGTCACACGAACTTTAAGCTCACAAAGCTCATAAAGCTTGTAGGTACTCTAAGAAGGTCTTTGTAATGCCTAGTAGCCCACACAAAAGACTATAAAGTCCTAGAACTCAAAGTGCTTGATAAAATTCTAAGATTTTAATAAATTCAGTGCAAAATAAAACCCTTAAAAACATGAACCCATACAGGGTCAGTTGAAACCCTAAGTGTTCCTATAAAAATGAGTGGAAACGCTTCTTTGTCAATACCTATACAGGGTGTTAATTTGATTAATGAAAATAAGTATGTTTATTTTAGGTTGCAAAAAGCAGTTGAAAGAGGCTATGTAAATAATACCTAATTAATTATAAATATCATGGTTACTAGAATAATTATTTTTTGTTTAAAAAATAATAATAACTAGAATAATTATTTTTTGTTTAAAAAATAATTTCATGTTTGGATATATATTTACAATAGGCAAGTACTAAATCCAGTACTGGATTTTGGTAACTTGTACAAGTTACTGTACGGTTATGTCATTAATTATTCTGACATTATGTATTATCATCGCCATTGTCATCATGTCACTACTACTGCCATTAAATTGATTCATCATTTAATATTCTTTTTAGCTCAGGAATCTACGACGATCCGGCTTGTACATCAAACCATGTCAATCACGCCATGTTGGTTATTGGTTATACGAATGATACATGGATTCTAAAAAATTGGTGGGGAAACCATTGGGGAGAAAATGGATACATGAAACTGAAAAGACATAAAAACAGATGCGGTATCGCTAACTATGCGGCATATGCCTTGATTTAGTAACAACTCAATAAACTGATTTGTATATTTAGTTTTATTGTTATTTTAATTTCCATTTTACTATACACCCGTTTGCATTGAATTTCATCAGCCAGAAAAAAGTTTGGGGGGCGGGCCACATTGTAATAAATGATGTAGTTCTAAAAAACAAAAACGAGACCTCCATAATAACAGAAAATAAATATTTTTTATTCTGGGTTGCAAAGTATCTCTTTTGTATTTAAAAACTGAGGTTTTTGCGAGTGCCAGTGAGTAAAAAAAACATTCGAGAACACAAAAGAGACTGCAACTGTGTATCAAACAATATCTTTCCAGTCTACTTCGGATTTTAGTATGTTTTGGGTAAGTAATCATAGAAGGCAAAGGTTATGTGATTATCATTAAAATCCCTGATAGCGAGACACATACCTACCCAAAGTATATTTGTCATTGCGGATATATTTCATATATTATATAAAAAATACTCTGCTTTGTACCCTAGTTTGTTAAGAATTATATATTTGCCATTACAGTTACATGTTAATGCAAAATGTGCCAATCAATGATTGGTATTAAAAGAATAAGGACTCCTCCAAGACAAATCGCTGCATATTTGAAATTGCTGCAACCGATAGACTAAAGGCAATGTACTATCTCAGATGCTCTCCATCAAATGATATAGAAGTTGGAAGTCTATTTCTATGGCGGAAAAGTATATTGACGACGATATCGAAAATAATATTTAAGTTTCAAATAGAATTTTGTTGAAATTTACTTAAGTTTCTAATTCAGTTAATCCATCAGCATCGATACATGATAACACGGCTCCACAAAAAAAAAATCGAGAAAATTACCCCTGGAGTCTGACTATGTCTATCATATGGTTTCGGGGTCGCTGAATCCAACTTCTGGGTCCATTTAACCCCATCATGTCAGGATTTTTCATAACCTCAAAAAATAGGCCCAAAAACGCAATAAATCCTCTATCTATTGACCACTCAATCCCAATAACCTCATAACCTCAAAATCCCAGAACCCGGTAAGAAAGAGACTTATGCCCGTTGAAGCCCTGAACCACAGTACGTTCGAGCCAAGCAACCTTGAAAATTTTCGCCTACGGCGGTTTTTTTTCTTTTTAGTCAATCAATGAATATACTTCACCTATTCTCAATGTCACGAGCCGCCACCGTTTATAATACAGTACTTAAAAATGAACTACTTTAAAATATATGTGGTCCAAAAATGGATATCTTATTCCTGACGAGTTTTTAATTTTTGATTATTTTTGTTTTCATTATTAAGATTGTATTTAATATTTCTTTTGACCGACTTATTTACGTTTTCCAAATTCAAATTACAAAAACTAGCAAAATCAGTCAAAAACGAGAAGTGTGGGTAATATATGAGAATCCATATTTAAATTTGTCGACTACTATTAACTTTAAAATATTTTATTTAAAAGATGAGTGAAATGGATAAAAATAAAAACTCATTAACTCTTTTATAATTTATTGTGATGACATTCAACAGCATGAGAACAGTTTATACAGATTTAAAAAATATGTATTTAAAACCTCAATAAAATTCAATATTTAAATTTATATTTTAAAAAATGTATACAATTAAATTAACATATGATAGTCATAGTTTCCCTGCTCAATCATTGTAATAGAAAAATATTTTAAACTAGTTGACTTAGTTGAACAAACTAATTAATCATATTTAAAAAACTATTAAATTTGTACAAAAAAAATTACATCAACAGCGATATTGTAATGAAAACCATAACATAAAGCTAAGTGTACGGTAGAATAATTGGCAGCAATATATGTATAAAAAACAATTAATTTCATAACTAGACTTGTAAAAAATATAATCACAGAAAATCTTGTAAATAGGGAAGGCATTCCACTGCATCGAATTCGTTATATATATACGTACTATAAAAGTTACACCACTTCAAAGGGAAAGATATTTTCCCGTTCCCAGATAGAAGCGTTTGGTGTAATTTAAAGTGCATTTACAAATTTATTTGTGGATTTTACAATTTTTGGAAACAGAAATAGGTACTGCATTTGACTTTTTAAGGTAATTATAACAAATACGTGCATTTTTGTTAGATTTGATGGACAAATTACTTCGATGATACAATACTAAATTATATAAAAACTATATTTCCAAATCTACCATGTTAGACTTAATTATAATATTTGTAAATGTAAATTCAAATCTTAGAAAAATATACAATTATTTAGAAACGAATTTCGATATAGATCATATTCCATTGTCAAAGAAATTTAGACTAGAATAATCTTAGACTGTGAAATTTCTTCCGAAGATATTCACATTTTATACTTTTAGGTGCTTTTGATGAAACTAGAAGTCGTATAATCACCACGAGCGAAAACGAGTCATTGTTCCTGTGAACCTCGCCAGCACGGCATGAAAATATGTTCAAAACCGTCACCAGCAATATTTCGTAGACTTCATTATTATCACAAGATTGTACATTCGAAAATGTTTTTAAATAGATTTTTACAAGTTTAGTTACACTAAAACTAAAAACTGTTGACATGTATCACCAAAATGTACCAATTAGCTCTTTAAAATTCCATTATAATATATACATCAATAGTAGCAGTATAAAACAAAATATAAAAAACATTCTAGATATTAATATGACACAACTTTATAGAATCTATAAACTCATATAATAACAAAAACATTAAAACAGATTAAATTTATGTAATAAAAATAATACAAAACTTTATACAATCAATTTTATAATCTTAAATAAATACAGACTATCATCAGATGCTTAATTATATATGTCTAACATTGCACAGGTTCAGAATTGTCAACCAATCAATCTAGTAGAGATATCCAAGTTAAACTGGATACAGTTTTTTAAACATTTCACAAATTATATTTACTGAGAAATCTATTCGGAACGGCTTTTAAAAATACACATTTTCCATTAGTGCATATTTTCAATTAGATTCTTTTTTGCATATAAAAATTCAAAAAGCTATCGAAAAGCAAAGCAAATATAACTACTCCATTTTTACTTACAAATGGAACACTAAATACAACATAATACAAATATTAGAAATATTCTCTGGCATTTCATACAAAAAAAATAATAGCTAAAAAATCAAACTGAAAATATTGAAACCTACAAAGGAAAAATGAGGATTTTACAAACTATGTTAAACCTGCGACATTATTTAAATACAAAATAAAAGCAATGTAAAACATGGCTTTCAATTTTTGTATTGTTAATTTTTAATGTTGGCTAATAATATCAAAAATATTTACCAAATTTTGAAATATTATGAAGTGTACTATTTACAATTAATATCTCTTTCTGTAAATTTACAATTGCCACGTACACAGGGAAAATAATAAATTTATCTCTAACTTTGTTTTGAGAATTTATAAAATTTAATAATTTCGTATATTCCATGTAATATACAAGGTGTCTCGAAATTAATGCAACAAAATTTGGTCATAGATCCTTAAGACAAATTTAGGAGACCCCCTTGTCTTTGGAGCTTACAAAATTTGGTCGCATATTTGAATTTCTTAAAAATTATTAGTTCGCTAGAAAACCATTGAATTTAGAAACTTTTTGTCTTTTGATATTTTTTTCTTAAAACGCAGTGTTTTTGAGAAAAATGACGAATCACGATATGCATTCGATCAAATTTTCATATTTTTCTCGAAAACATTGCGTTCTACGAAAAAAGTACTAAGAGACAAAAAAGTCTCTAAATTTAATGGCTTTCTAGAAGACTAACAATTTTTTAGAAATTTAAATATTCGACCAAAATTTTTTGGCTTCCAAGACAAGGGGGCCCACGAAAAATATTAAGGGGATTCCCCGCCAAAAAACTATCAGATTCCACATGTCATAAAACCCCTGTGTACCAACTTTAGTGCATGCTGTACAACAGGGTTTTGAAATATAAAAAAAGACTATTCTTAGGCTGTAACTCCGAGAGGGCAAAAATAAAAAATATGGGTTCCCTAAAGTTGTCTTAAGAATCTGTGACCAAATTTTGTTGCATTAATTTTGGGACACCCTGAATACAGCACGTCTGGTTTTTTTTATAAACACCTTAAACACAAGTAGACTCCAGTGGGACTACTGTTTTCTGGGTAGGCCCTGAAAGATCACCAAATGCAAACTATTGGTTTTCCATTGCCACGAATGCATGACATGTAATTTTTTTATATGGGTGGAACTTTCAGAAAAGCATGTTAAGGTTTTTTTTATTGAAAAAATGACACTGCAGGCCCCCAAAATAGTTGTTTACCAAATTTGGAAAGAAAATATCTATTTATTATTTTTCTACGTGCCGTTAAACAAAAACAAAAAAGTGTAAAAAATAAAATACAATATAGATTTTATATTAACGACATTTTCATTTAGAAACCAATGTTATTTTTAACTTTAGGGGAGATAGGGGAGCATTGGGCAGTCGGGAGGTTCGGGCACCACCTTGTAACTAGAGACGTGTAGTAGATATTTATTTTTGTATACTGTGGTAGTTTAGTTTAACAACTGGCAACACTGCTTAGACTAATGTCATTTGTCATTTCGTTTAGTTGTCAGTGTGTCATGCGGTTGACGGTTTCGTGCACCCAAAAGTAAATATTTTGTTGTGATTTCAAAGGAAATAACAGAGCAATCTGTGAAAAGGCGTAAGTTTCTTTGATTATACGTAAATGTGTGTTTATCGAAGATAATATTAACCTATAAATTGATACATAATGTTTGAATAATAAAATGTATATTTGGATTAATTTGCAAAACGAGGGTATGGGGAGCATTGGGCACTAATATTGAAAGGAGGTTTGGGCATGCCCAATGCTCCCACCATTATTAATCATCAGAAGAAGAATCGTTTGACGAAGATGATGTTATTATTTTAGATCGAAATTTCAAAGTCAACGATTATGTCTTGGTCAAATTTGACACCAAAAAAACTACCTATCACTATGTTGGACAAATTAAAGAAGTTGATCCCTCCATGGCAACTGTTAAATTTCTGCGTATGAGCAAGATTCGAAATACATTTATGTATCCCGATATCGAAGACATTTCAAGTGTCCCATTAACAGACATTAAAACTAAATTGCCACAACCAAAAATATGGATCAAACGTGGCAACTCCAAATACACTTTTAATAAGCCTATCTGGGTTATACCAAATGTTAGATAAGTTTTATTATTTATGTAAGAATACTGATTTTTGAGCATCTAATCTTTATTATTTGTTAAGTTACTTTAGTTATAACATATCAAAATAATTTAGTAGGTATTATGTGGCGTATGCAATACAATGCCCAAACCTCCCACAGAGGTGCCCAAACCACCCAACCATTGGGAGGTTTGGGCACTTATGGCAAGGTTCAGGAAATATCATGTAACTTTGAGACTGATTACATTTGTATAACTATTCGTCGCAATAATTTGAGTCAATTGTATGTGCCATTGATATTAGAAATAAATAGTTGATTTTATTAAAAAATAACAGTTTTATTTTGATTTAAGTAGAAAAGTGCCCAATGCTCCCCTATCTCCCCTAAATAAAAAAAGTGGCCAATGTTACATTCTACCGATATTCACTATTTGGCAACTACGATTACCAAAAAAAAATATGTTCAATGAAAAACGAAATATATTATTATAATTACTTAGATTGAAAAATATTAATCTTCGGAATTTAAGTTATGAATAATCTCAAAACAATATAAGCAATATCATATCACTATGAGATGAGTATATGTGAAATTAAACAATGGACATAACTGAGAGAGCCAAAACAGTTACTTGTATATTAAAATTATTAAAAGAAAGGATTAAAATCAATAATGTTTTATTAAAGTATAATGAAGATGTTGCGAGATTGTAGTGTTGTATGTCAATAAAATTGAAACTAATTATGTCACGGATATTCTACATTTACTCATTTCGTATCGGATCAGTTTCGAATATAGTTTTATAACAGCAAATTAATTCTAAAAAAAATATTTGCGGAAAACTTCCACACTAATTTAATTCCTAAGATTCGTTACGGGTAAAAAAAAAATTACCTCATAACGACCACAACAAAGGGGTTAATTCTTCGAATTTATATTTATAAAATATATAGTCTTGTTTTTTATTTTGATTTTTAACAGTAAATAAATATAAACATTCTCGAAATGTTTTATATATCAATATTTCTACTAGATTTTCCAGTACTTATCTAGAATGCTTTTTGTTCCAAAGTAATCGAATAAGATGTACGTACCTATTAGGTACAAAATAATATGTAGATAAAAAAACAAACTGTTTAATCAAAGTGATTTTCACTTAAATCAACCAACATCGAAAAGTTAGGCAAAAATACCTCCTTGCCGGCTGATCGATCAGTTAAATACTTTTTGCTAAAAAAAAATTAGCAGTAGTACCGGAACGATTCCCTTTTGCAAAAAAACCAAAGTATGTTTTCAGGTCAAACTCTTTTAAGTATTACGCAATCGACCAGATAGCTGTTTAAATAAAATCCCTAAGAAATAGGTTGAGAACTTTTAAGCCGGCAAAAATTAAAGCGGGTGCAGAATTTTCGTACAGAAAAAATTTCAGACAAATGAGACCAACCCTGAGATTTCGACAAGGTTCTCGTTCATAATCAACCGATTTTTTTTTTTCAAGAATAAAAAATTTACTTTGAAATATTAAGGTCCGCCGAAACTATTTTAATTAATTCGCAAATTTGACACAATTTCTTTCACGACGAAAGTTCTTTATCCCCTAAAAACGGGAAATGGGAAATTACTGCTTTAATTTTCTCCGGCGACACTGCTTTTAGGAAACACTTAACGGCGACTAGACCGTGAATTTGTGATCCTGGAAACGGCTTTTTTAACGAGCAAAACAACGGAATCTAAATTTTCCATATCACACCAACCAAAGTGAAAACTCTTTGATTCACAGGCTATCAGCACAGATCAATAGGAGAATGAGAGACTTCTCGTATATATACATTAAAGCCTCTAATAACTGGTTACGTTACTGGTGCATCTTGTTAAACGGATATCCAACTTCACAGCTTCATTTCTTCACAACAACTTCCGTCCACGATATCACACTGTGCTAATGTTATAAGTACATGTGAAAACTCATCTTTAGTACACTATCACAGTCATTTTTTCGGTGATTAAGCAATTAAGTTTTCTATTCTATATCTATGCATATACATATGCATTTAATTTGTTAGAAGTTTTTTTTTATCACCACTATATTAATATGGGAATATAAAAAAAGTCACAGCAGCTTTTTTATTATCACACGATTTGACATATTAAGAAACGTAGATGGGAGGATTCTCTCCGATGTAACTTCCATTACATGCCAAAATTGGATAAGCCAATACTGTATTGAGCAGGTCATTGTGGATTTCTAATGAGTTTGTAGCGTAATGCAGGACCAAATCCTTCAAGGTCGGGTAAATATTGTACGGTTCCGTAAAACCTAAACCTTTACTAGTTTCGTTGATGATGCAATGGTTGACGCTACCGTTGCACACTACCGACAGCGCGTATTTGTCCACGTGCCGCGACTTTCTAATTAAAAATGTGCCGTCCGGTTTTCCGTCCAAAAGTCGTTCTGCTTCAGTACGTGAACAGTTCAGCATCAACCACGTCTTCTCGTCGTTGTGGGGTAGCGTCTCCGTATCCACTTCACATTCTTCGGAAGTTTCCTCGATGTTCCTATTGATGACCTGGTTTATTTTCGGTAGTGAGAAACCTCTCTGTTGAAGCCACCGCATGTACTTGTCCCTTTCTCGGGCGAGCCCATGTATTTCAGGTTTTAACGTTGTTAGTTCCCGCTCCAACACCTTCTTGTAAGCTTCCTTTTGCTTCAGTATTTCCTCCAACTGTTCGCAACTTTCCGACATCAAATCTAAACGTTTTTTCAGCAGTTCCGAATTAATTTCCAAGTTTTTAATCTCGTGCGGCTGGGCCTCGTTTTGGATTTTTTCCTGGATCGAGGTTTGATCTCGAAAAACTTGTACTAACTCTTTCAGAGCGTCCAGTGCGTGGCGTTTAGTTTGTACTTCAGATGAGGTTTCGTTGAAATCCTTTGAAACCGTTTCCGACACCTTGTTCTTCTCCGCTAAATTCTTATTTACAGCTATTAATTTTTCAAATAATTTTTCAATTTTTTCAGTCTTTGCTAATTCTTCTTCCTGATTATACTTAGACACTGGGTAGAGCAGCTTAATATCAAGAGAAGCGTTGTACTGTGATAACGAGTCGTGCCTAAAATGGTTTATGAGCTCCACGACGGAATGGAATGTGTAAGGTTCAGTGAATCCGTACATTCCATTTCGGTGACATATTTTAATTAGTTTATTAGCACCACCTTTTCGCAATGTCAACGTATATTCACCACATTTACTAGAGGCATTTCGAACTAAAAACGTACCGTCAACCGTATCGTTCAAGACTTCGTTTACTTCTTCCCTTTTGATATCGCCCCAATACCAGTCGGCGTCTTGCAGCGACATGGCCATGTTGTTTTTCTCCCTTTCTTTCTCTAGTACGCTGCTGTAATAGGCGGCGCTGCTACCCATCCGTGACACCTTCCGTGGTGGGATCGCCGGAGCCGAGGCAAATTCTGGTAACTTTTCTCCCCACTCGCAGTATAGTAATAATAGTTCGACAATTCTGTTGTGAGCTTGGGTGTTGTATACCACTTGTCTGGAAAAGAAAGTGTATGTTAATTTTACAATATAGAAATTTATAGGTCGACCGATTTCACTTGGTCTCGAACTTTGAAGATAACGCAAAGAGAAACACATTTTTTTTATGGAATGTTAAAAAAGATACATCGCAGAGGTTATCAAAATTCATAAAAACAACGTTACAAATTATATTTTTTTAGGATTTTTTTTTTATTAATTCTAGAACGATAAACGCTAAACAAGAATATAATATAGTCTCATGGGGTACTTGAGTATTTGTTAAAGAAACAATTGCCTGTATTTAAATGTTTCAAGAATTGTGAACATTTTCATAAACTGATTCTTTTATTCCAATCTTTAATGATATATTTCAAAAAATATAAAAAATAACAATTTTTATTAAAACAATCGATAACATTTTTTTAATGATAATTTTAACTGATTTAATTAATTTATTTGCTCACACTTAAAAAGTAGTCGAGACCATTTTTACAGGTGTAAAATCAAATAAAAAATCCAAAAATTTATATATTTTCCAATGATATTTTATGATCAAGATTTTCTATCAAATTCTGTATATTATTTTAACATTTTATAATTTTAGATTATACTGCAGATTATAATGCCTTCAACAGCGTAAAACATAATATAAAAATAATGCCTTTAAGAGTTTTAAAATTTTGATATTTTATTACAGTTTCTGCACACCCTCTATGGGTTTGAAAAAATAAAAATTGTTGAATTTGGAACCAAATAATGAATTTTCTAAATAACAGTTGGTTTTAATACAGACCATTTAGAAATGTTGGTATTCATTAATCAAAAATTTTTTACATAATTAGTTTCAGACCTGTTTTGATTTGAACTTTTCATCAAAGACCCTCTACCGATAATAATTTCTATGCTAATTATTATATATTAATCACAAAAACGTGTTAAATTAAAAAAGAGATGCCCAATTTTTCCAAAAATTCTATTACACCACTGGAGTTTCTACAAATCCACATCAAAACGATCTAATTTTTTTGATTTGGCAACAAATGAATGCAGGTCCCATATTTTTTTATTTGCTTAACCGACACTACTACATTTTGGTGACCGAAGGGCATCCAAAAAATTCGCAAAGCTCAAAATTTCAGGCATATGACATCACTCGCCTTGATGGCAACCCAAAAAATTCTAATTCGGAACAGCCCGCTTTACTTGATATTTCACTATACTCGAATAAATTTATTATTAGTCTGGCGAGACATCCACACTACAGTAATTTGGCATTTTCCACATATTTGTAAGACGAAAACCGATATCTTATCTTAGAAACTCTTTTATCAGGACTTTTGAAATACTTACATTATACGTTCCCAGGGAGGCCTTAGAAAAATATGGCACATAACTTGTATGAGGACAGTCGGAGGGCTCTTATTGCCCCTGGCGTATTCCATCTGACAAATGCGACAAAGGTGGCCCATGATAAAGTGGAGCGTGGACTTGTGGTGCTCGGGCAATTCCTGCACCAACTGCTTCAAAATGGAAGTACATTCTTCGTCGTTCCTTTTCTTCGAAGCTTCCAAGAACTTGTCGTACCACTGCACGGGTATAAGCGGATCGGGCAATTCACGTAAATACTTTTTAAAAACACTAGCTATACAAACGGGACTGAAATCCGTAAGATCAACATTGTTCGGATTTTCTTCGATTCTCTTTACCAGAACGTGCAACTGATCTGATGGAGGGGTAGCACAGTACAAATTGTATAGTTCTAAGGATTCGTTATTTTTGGCTCTTTTCTCTAGTTCGAGCGCGCAACTGATGAGGATCTGAGGTGCCGGCGTTTCACTTAGTTTGAACTGGATGCAGAGGCCTTGCCCGAAAAAAGACTTAAATTGGATAAAATGTAACCTCTCATCCATTGGACGGTGCGTGCAAGATGGAAGTCCTGTCGCGGCACAGGTCCTGTGAGCAACGAGTCCGCAGTCTTGACAAATAAAACCTTGATGCAGAATGCCTCTCAGATATTTGTTGCATTTGTCACATCTTTCCAGGGAACTAAAGCTGTGTTGAGTCAGGTTATGTGCATAGTTCGTACCTGAGGACACGTACTCTTCGGGTTCATTTTCAATAGATATCTTATCCTCGGGTTTTTTAAGGAGTTCGTCTATGCATGTCAGGATAGCTTTCTGATGGAATTCATCTTTAATTCCCATTCCCTGTAAAAAGCAAAATGTTATGTAAACATAAAATTCCTACATACAGGGTGTATCTTTAAGTGGGGGACAGGGTTTTGGGGGCAATAGTACGTATTCCCCAGAATACTAATCTGAAATTATTTTTTTGTAAAATTAAATACACCGCACTTAAACTTTTATTTATGCCATCAGTGAACAGTTTCCGAACTCTGTACGCATTGTTACATTTTTTAAGCGACTATTGTTAATTTTTTTATGTCACCAAATTTTTGATGTCAATGCAAACGAAACACCAAACAATACAAAAATATTTGAGGGTTTTTATAATTTATTATATATTATTTTTTATATCATTTATTAAATATTATCTAATACTGATATGTAGATAAGCACACTTTACTTGTAAGTAAGTCATTTATGTTTTAAAATAATTATTTTTGCTGTGTTATATAATGTACATAATAAAAGATAAATAAGAATACTAATCTTACAGACTTTAAAACATTTTTTAAAATCATTTCGACTAATATCAATCCACCTGATGTGATATGACAAAACGGCGCTAGGCGGGCAAAAAACAACCAACGTTAATGAGGAAAAATGAAAATGTCACCGCTGATTTTATTATATTTATTTTAGTTTCCAGTTTACCGTTTTAGGAGATTTCGAAATAGAATTTGTCTTGGAATTTGTATGGTCCAGCGTTTGCATTTTGCTTGTATTTTATTAAGTTTAATTTTATATTAGTTGTATTTAGTGGTGTTTTGAAAGATATTTATTTCATTGTCCGGGTACAGTGTGTTTGTGTATCTTCATTGTTAAATTTTCATGATATTTATTATTAAAAAACATGCATGTGAATCAGATTCAAAAGTTATGAAAAAAATGTTAAAAAGTTTAGTTTTCTCGAACAAATATGCGTTTCTAAAGCTCAAAAGTAGCACCTGTATAAATACGACCCCTTTCAAAATTATACCCTGTATATAAAGTTGTTTTTATTATTTTTCATTTAGAAATTTAATTGCAAATTATTAGATTTGACATCGACATATTTCTGGGAATTAAATATAAAATAATCAAATATTTAAACCTAATAAAATCCCGAGACATTTGAATGTGTCGATAAAAAAGAACAAAAGAACATGTTTCTATTATATTGAACAGTGATGAGCATTTAAGTAGTTTTCACCCTGTATACAGAAATCAATTTAAAGGAACAGCAATAATTAATGCCAATAAAAAATCACGTACGTGCCTTCTGTAACCTAGAAGCCATTTATAGTTATTCAGCTATTTATAGTTAAGTGCCAACTAACGTATATCAGTTGCTATAAAATATGACAAAACTGCAGTAAAAATAATATTGGAAATAACTCAAATTTTATTAGCTTGTATCAAATATTGTATTAGATTTAACCCACTAAACTTTTAATGAGTTTTTGGTTTCATAATATTAAATTTCACTAAATATGTGACGCAAAAGATTTAGAGAAACTTCATATGATTGAAATCTTAATCCAGATACTACATTATCTTTGACATTACCCCTCAGGAACAACAATAATTAGAGTTTGACATATCTGCGACGTCAGTGGCGTCACTAAGAAAATTAAAAATATTTTAAATGTGTTAAAATATAATAATCCTGTAACACATTTTCACCACATGCGCTTTCAATACACGCACAAAACAATTTTTAACATATCTACCATTTCACAATTTGTGTATTTCACATTAGAGTTCACAACACAAAAGTACTTCACAACTATTTTTAGAACAATTTAATTTTTTTGCACAATGGACTGGTTTATCAAGAAACTGAATAAAATTTTAAACAATCATATCAATTATGAATTGGCATTTAGTTGGTTTCGATAATACTATGTGTGTCGTTTAGGTATATAGGTACATTATAAATTCGAAGTTCACATCATTTTCTAGACGAGCGGCAAAACAAGAAGTCGCCACATTGAAAATTATTCTATACTAGTATTTTATTTTACTTAAACCATAAATATATAGTTATGTCTTTACTGTAAAATTATGACAACTTTGGCTTAACATATTTTTCAATAATTAAGTAAGCTTTTATTTGTTAAATTTTTGAGTAATTAATTAACTTTGTTTTAATTAATCAGTATTGTTCGAACCATGCATATTTTTTGGTAACAACTAATCTAAAAATAAAGATATAAAATAATGAAATCGAGCACTTACAATTAACTTATCTCGATCCAAATTTATTAAATCAGCACCTTTAATGTCTTTGCACCTGAAAACGTCTGAATACGTGTATAGGTTTAGTGCCGCCATCCATTCCACAACGTTCGAAGAAGTCCACTCCGAGATAGGCTGCAACAAAAATTTTGCATTAATAAAAACACTTGAAATTTCGACATGTTATATAAAAAACTGAAAACGTACGCATCACCCGTTTATTTAACCTTGACCTAGTTAAACTAATCTCTCCCCTGATATAATGATTTTCTCTCGAATATATTTCTGTCACGAATCCCGCAGTTTTTTTATATCATTTTCGTTTTGTGCATTTAAATCGTCGAATAATCACAATAGTGCCTGAGCCTTTAGATTTTGAATGAACTGGCCCCCTTCCACGTTTTTTTTATGAGTGATGACGATTCAATGTCGAACATACTTAATAAACTAAAAATAAGTTGTTTCGATTAAATGTGAAATGGTGATAAATACAAATACATAACATAATTGTGTATGTATTTATGCTTAATTAAGTATTTATGTGAAATGAAAAATTTTATTCGAAGTCTATTTTTCATGTGCAAAAATTAATTGTGTCCCACAGCATAGAGTACTAATAAATAATTTGAAGACGGTTCTGTCTATCGTCCAATTGTTCTTGTCCCGTTTCATTTTGACAAATATGGACTAGGGACCACGGACTACAGTTCGGCGACTCTAGTAGCAGTTCTACAAAGTAACGAGAAAAGCAGACAGATGCAGAAAAAAGAGATAGAAAGACGGTCACACCGGCATAGCAACGTGCGGGCCCTACTATTGGTGGACAAAGCACCTATCGAATATAAGTATACAAAATCGAGAATTTGTTCTACTCTAAACGAACGGAGATGTGTACCAACATATTTTAATACAATCAAAATTAATAAATTATCAGGAATGTAAAAAAAACTGAGGCTATTAAACGGATATTAATTAAAAAAGATACGTTCGCAGCGACAAGAGGCGTTTATATACTTTTAATATAATCAATTTTACTCGTGTTTTAGCCAAATAGGTGCTACACGCTGGATGTAATGTTAATTTGAATACATTCTGAAAGGAGAACTTGATTTCGTTTCAAGCACTTTCTTTCTAATTTAAATTTATATATGAGTCATAGCTATAAACTGAACCGTCCATTTCACAGCTAAATAAATCTAAAAGCTAAAATATTTCCACTTAAATACCTGGTACAACCGTTCTTCTAATAATTACATAATCCAAAGAAATTGGTAACAGGATTAATTTTTAATAATGAGACAAAGAAAATAGAATGGAAAACTTACTACTAACTGAAAGTAGCGGTGTTCAAATTATGTTGGGTATATTGTCTATTTTTATTAAAAGTATGTTCCAAATATATTATTTTAAATTATATATATATAAACCTCCATATTTATGAAATAGTGACGCCATAGAGATTTTTTAAAATAGGACGCCCCCACTTTTTATGACATCATTTGATAGCAGCATTTATAAGACCAGTTTTCACTTATGGTACTGTGCGCCAACTTTGTTGGAACCGTGTCATTTACTGAATGACACTTCCCGTATACAGAGCGTTTCAAAGTAAGTGAGAAAAAACAGTCTAGCGGCGTGTGCTAAAATATTGATTTTCAGTGTTGGAAATTTAAACTTTTCCACACACCAATGATGTCTTAGTACACAATTATTTCTACGCATATATCAGCAACTAATTATTTTAAAATAAATAAGTACTACATATTTGAAACAAATTTGTGTTTTAAAATAATATTCAATATATTCAGGTGTTACCACAATATAAAAATGTAAGACAACTTTTTCTATTTATATATACGAGTATAAAGAATATATTAGGGTACACTTTTGCTACTATCGAAATGGAATTTACTAGATAATTTCTTGATCTATTTCGAATGCAAGGGATAGAAGTAACTACCCCCACAAGTAACTTTTTGTATAACGTTTTTTCTATCGCTATTAGATAACTTCATTTAACTAAAGATTCAACTAGATTCAACGATGAAAACTAATGGTGGTAGTTCAAATAAAAATTTGTCGTTATACGTTTCAATTCTATTCAAGCCACGTTTTGGCCTCTTCGAACACCCGACTTAAATCCTATTGATGTTTGTGTATGGTGTTATTTGAGCGCTTCAATGTACAAGACACCTAGCGGAATAAAGCTGAGAAACCGCATTATTGCTTCGCGTGCGGCAATTCAGAATTTTCCAGGAATTTTTAACCAGATCCTTGGATCAAATCTTCGACGTACTGAATCTTGTGTAATGATGGGAAGTGGTCATTTTCAACATTTATTATGATATTTTATGGTTTTCCGTTTATATCAAGGATTTACTTAATTTCTTTTCATTAATTAGATGGTGTTTTGTTGACAAGAAATCGTACTTTTAGTGAGACAATGACACAACAAGAAAACCTATCCAAACTATAAAAATGTTGAAAAATGAGGATTCCTTTAATTTTTCGCAGTGAAAATCACGGAAATCACGGGCACCTTTTCCTGTTTTGTCGAGAATTTTGTAAAAATACTCAATAATTATGACTAACTCATGTGTTTACAGTTTCTTAAAAGCATTCTACGGGGTGTGCACCATGACCCATTTCATTTTTTTGCTCAAAAACTATTATATGTATTTACGAATAAAATAGCATAGAGACCAAATATGTTTCGAATAAATCAAACTATATAAGCAGCCCGTATTGGTAATGCAAAAAATGTTGCCTAAGTACCATACCAAAAAACCTAACCTTAAAAACAAAATGTTACTGGTAGAGATCGTAATTAGCGACCTCTACGAGATAGCAGAAAAGTAAAATAGACGTATTAGCATCTCCAAAAACTTTGTTCAATTGGTTTTTGAAAAAGTTATGGAAAAAATTTGAAGCCCAATGCCTAAAAAACAAAGGTATATATTTTTTTATGTTCTACCGGCGGCCCTGAATTTATGGCCACTTTTCAAAACACTTTGTGGATGAGTTACGTCAAGGATAATTTAGGAAAATTGTTAACATAAAAAACATGATTTTCACATAATTTTGAATAGGAACGTACGTTAAAAAGTACTGTAATGAAATAGGAGCTGCAGTGGTTTATTTCAGCTTGCCTATTAATAGAAATTATGAATGGAAATTAAACTACGAAAAAATCATTTCTGTTACTTTGCACGACCATGACTTGGGAAATAATCAATATACTCGGAGAATATTGCTTAATAACTTACCTACCTATATTGTTTTTACTGTCGATACAAACCGTTTTACGTCGATAATATTTGTAAAAATATCGCATACAGATTATAACTTAGTTGATCTAATGAATATCGATAAATTTTATATATATAAAAAAAGAATCGATGACTACGGGTGTTTTAGAAATTAATTGTATCCAGAAAGTAAAAACTTCTATTTGTCCATTAAAAATATTGTAACAACCATTTACATACGTTTGACTCTAACAATATGCTATGAAATAGAAATCCGAACTTCTCAGAATCTTAAAAACAGTTAACATTGAGAATTCAGCACGTTCTTAAAGAAAACAAAGTACCACTACGTTTGTTATGTTTCTAGAATAGGTACAATAAGCACAAAGCAAAACAAAATTTCGAAAAAAATCTTCCGACTGCATTAAATACCAAAAACTTCAGAATGCATAGAAACAAAACGACGTTTTTGTGCTCTTTGTACGACATAAAACTTAACCCTAAACCTTTAAAGATAATCATTACGTTCTTAGACATAACAAAAATGAAATGGCAGATAACTCAAATATTAATTATCTACATTTATTTTAGCGACTATCGGTAACTCAAGGCTTGATAAATATTTTATCACGATGTCCTACAACTACAAGGAATAATCGTTTTTATGGAGCCTTTATTTGAACAGAGTACAAAGCGTATTCGCTTTGAGAAAAATGACAAATCCTAATCCCAACAAAGATTTTATTGTGTTGCATCCCAGGCATGTCGTCCAGAAAATGTTACCGATATTGACTGATCCAAGCAACGCGGGTGCAAAACTTCAACCTAACAATATGGTGTATGTAGCATTTGGCTTAGAAAAACAATTTGGAAAAAAGAAAAATTGAAAAAAAAAATGAAAATTTTGTAAACATGATTTTTGGCAAATTCCATTAGTTAATTTTCCTTCCATGTTCAAGAATAGCTCTGTGGACAGCTAGGGTTGTTGTAATCGAAACATCGGTGAAAATTTCGATTGTCGACCAACCCTATCTTGGTAGCTTATACGATTAACTTGAAACTGTCGGACATCGATTACGCTGTTGCAGCAAATTTCTAGTTTGTGACTTCGGTGTAAAGATTCGAAAGGTTAGTAAATTTCATAAAACAATATATAAAATGACAGATTTATTACTGACTTATATGTCGTTCTCAATACAAAACACAAATGTATTATATTAATTCATACGTAGTTATCAGTTGTCATATTTTATCGTGTAATTCAACATCAAAGAGAAAATTTCATGTGTGCAAGTCAAAATTGCTGTCGGTTGAAAAATAACGGGACGTAGATACGAAACATTTGCTGATGTAAACAAAAAAATATGCTTTGGATCAGCACTCGGCAAAGCATATCCCACTACATTCCTGATTACTTCCACTGTTCCGGTCAAGAAATATTTTGCAATCCGTGAATTAAAGTACTGCCTTCGAGCCAGTACTTTTGATACAATTGAACCTTGGGGAACTAATCAAACGATCAGATCAGTGAGTAAAACGTATAAAAATTATTAGTTAACCTATCTTTTTAACCAGCTACTAGGGGGTGTTCGAAATAATCCGCACTTGTAAGTGCGAATTTGCACTAAATTTTAATTTAATTCTTGTCCGCGTTCGCGCATTTTGGTGAGGAAACAAGAATCTATTTTTTTTAACAGATTTTACTTTGATAAAAACATTAAACTGGTCATATAACTGCAATACGTTTTTCTTTTTGTTTAAATAAAAATACTTGATATATTTTTAGTTGTAATTTATTTTTTTTTATACATTAAAAAACTATAACTGAAATATTAAGAAAATCGAACTACATCCAATTATATACAGGATGTTGACGTAAGTACATAA